CAGCAGGAGTACATCATACTAAAGATTTTCAGAGGAGTATATTTTGTTTTTTTGTGCCATACTGTGTGTTTTTGTAAGATTTCACAGCCTTGGAGCTTTGTTTTCTTTAAGACTAACACAAAAATAGCACACTGGACCAAGTCACAAAATACAATGAACACCTGTATTTTTATGATCTGGCATTCAGTTTATTATTTTGATATTAGATTCTATTTATTATTTTTGTAAAGATGCCATGTCTTTATAAGTTGTAATATAAACTATCAAACAAAAATATTGCTTTCAAACCTATTGTTTCAAGACATTATATAAACCATTTTACTGTATTGTATATGTTATATGAAGGAGAACTTATTTTTATAATTTTATTTCAGAGAGAGAGAGAGAAAGGGAGAGGTAGAAACAATGATCTGTTGTCCCACTTTTTAAGCATTCTTTGGTTGCTTCTTATATGCCCGTGACCAGGGATCAAACCCACAAACCTTGGGGTATACCTGGCCAGGGTTTGAAGGGTAACTTATTTATAAACAATAACAACTACCTATTAGATGCCAGGCACTATGCTGGATGCTCTACATCTATTATCTTGAATATCCACAACAATCCCATATGTAATACTTTATATCTAATAATTATCAAAAGGAAGAGAAATCACAGGTAGGTTTTAAAATGCTCCCCGACCCACCCACACACAAAATCAGACTCCATAATAAGCAAGATTATATATATGCTACAGTAGATCGAGTCCCAAATAGGTATTCTCCTCTCCCCTCCCCGTCTCCCTCGCCTTTTTCTTCCACTTTAACGAAGAAAAAGTGTACATGCTGTACTTATCTAACCATCAAACTTAAAACTAAAGTCATACTTTATAAAAATTTACAACTAGACTTGGTATTGTTTCATCCATGATATAACCTTTCAACAATCAACTTTCCAGAAAGCTAAAATTAAGTCCAATCGTAACATCAATCAAAAACTCATTTGTAATGAATAGGAGACTATATGCCTTGATACAAACCAACCTAAGTTACTTAACCTGAAAATCAATTCTATTTGAAAAATGGTGAGAAAACCAATGCTCAACCCATATGCGTTGTTGTGAGAAGTACATGAGATAACGCCAGCAAAACCCATAGGTGCCGTATTGATAGTTGGAGACATCATGTGCAGACATGGGTCAGTTTACAGAGGGTCTCTAGTCCAGGTTCATGAATGCACATAACAAACCAAATATTAAATATGAAGATTTTGAGTATGCTTCCCTGGAGGTGGAAAAGTTATTTTCTAACAACAATTATGATAGTTATCACAGATGAATTTTTTCAATATAAAGACTCCCAGATTTTTAATAAACACTTCAAAATTTGTTAGAGACAGCACTGAATGAGCAGAATGGAGGCTTACATTCTGAGGATCTTCTCCCCAGAAATTTATAATTCATGCTTTAAAAAGATTATACAAATTTAGGACCTATCTGTGAGATAATCTAAATTGCCATACCTCTCAAAAAAAAAAAATTCTTAACTGCCCCTATTAAGCAACCATTAGATTCTTGAAAGGTGTCACCATTCTTGATTTATTCATCAAACCTCAACACACACCAGGGATCAAATTTAATATGTATGAAGACAAGCGATTATGTATGGCTGGAATTAACAAACTATCCCAATTGTCATCACAATCTAAATTATTTTTTCAACGCAATGAACATTTTATACAGAAAGAAAAACTACAGGGGAACTACAAGTTATGTATGATGCTAATTTCTGAAAATATAATTTAACTGTTTTAAAAGAAAACTACCTCCAAATACAGTTCAGATCTCTTTTAACCACCTGCTTTCTGAACCCAATATCACAGAATTAATTTATTTTAAAATTGTTTTAACCCTGGCTGGTGTTGCTCAGTGGTAGAGCATTGGCCCTTACACCAAAGGTCTCAGGTTTGATTCCGGGTCAAGGTCATGTACCCAGATTGCAGTTCATTCCCCGCCCCTGATACGGGAGAGGGGGGGAGGCAACCAATTGATGTGTCTGTCTCACATCAGGGCTTCTCTCTCTCTCTCTCTCCCCCACCTCCCTCTCTCCCTTCCACTCTCTCTAAAAATCAATGGAAAAAATATCCTCAGGTGAGGACTAACAACAACAAAAATTCCATTTTACTAACAGAATTTTTTAAAATTCATACTGAGTAATCAATTTATAAAAACAAATTAACACATCTATTTCAAAATATTTAGAATGCTACATAGCAATCCACTTTTTTATGATTATATCCAAGATTTTAAAAACTATGTATATTAAAAAATATCCTCGTTCAAATTGCTATCCTTTTCTTCCTTCTTCTCCTGGTTCTCCCTCCCCCCGCCAATTATGAATTCAAAACCTAGAGCTTTAAAGAACTTTAATTTCTAATTGGTTCCAAATATGTAATCACAAGGAATATGCAAAAGACTAAAAATGTAGCATAAGACAAATGATAGAAGAAATTGTTGCAGTATTTTTACCTTTTAAAGCGCAATATGGATAAGCAAACTCTACTTGAATAAGAACTGCCTTGCATTCAAAGAGCATCACTGTGAACGAGGGGGGGGGAAATGAGGATTTACTGGATTACTTACATAGAGAGTGCATTACAAATTCGCTAAAATCAAGTCCCCTTCCTTTTGGAGTCATTACTTTAAAGCACAAAAGTACCAGATGTTCCTCCATACAGCTTGTTACATATAGAAAAAAATAAATTACATTATCATATTAAGGATATACATCTGACTCTAGTCTAAGCTCTTTGAGCTGTAATGTAATCAACTTTGAAGCAGACTTTCTTTACATGTGTGCTATTGAAGCTGAAATAAATGAAACAAGCATTTCCAAGCCATCGTCCCAACTCTACCAAGAATATTCCTGTGTTATGAGTGGGGCTTTAAAATCAGAAAGAGATTCAGAGGCTTAGTTCTACCATTTACTGGATATTGACCTTGGGCAATTTCCTTAACTTTCCTCTTCTGTAAAATGAGAATAAACATATGTTCTTAATTGGGCTTGAGAGAGGATTAAACTTGCCTAGA